TAGTTAAAAGATTCCACGTAAAAAAGTCATTTTATTTATTTACTTTTTAGTTTTACTGAGGTATAATTAACAAAGAAAATTGTAAACTATTTAAAGCATACATCATGGAGATTTTATATATGGATACACTGTGAAGATTCCTCCCATCTAGCTAATTTACACATTCATCACCTCACATATCAACCTTTTAAAAAAATTTTTGGTGAGAACATTTAAATTCTACTCTCTTCTCTTAGCAAATTTCAACTATATAACAGTGTTATCAACTATAATCACCATGTTTTACATTAAGAAATGGTAATTTTATAAAAAGTAAAACCACACATGCCATATTTTTCTTTGTACTGATCAGTCAGTACAATGTTGTTGACACAGGTTAATCTCACTTAATAGAATGAAATTATTTCAGCAAAATTTTGAGGTAAGTGCTTACTGAGCAAATATGATTTTTCACATTTATTAAATTTGGAGGTAGTATACTAGAAATATTTTTACTTTATTATATACTTTTATACTTAAGAACGTATAATGTTACCTGTGGATTGGAAAGCCAAGTGAGGAAGAATTTAATTTAATTTCCAAATCAAAAAGAAACTATTACTCAGAATAGCCAACAGAATATTGAAGAAGACCAACATTGGAGGACTACCTGACTTTAAGACTTACTATAAAGCTACGGTAATCAAGACAGTGTGGTATTGATGACAAAAGAATAGACACATAGATCAATGGAACAGAATAAATAGTCCATAAATAGATCCACATAATATAGTCAACTGATCTTTGACAAAGGAGAAAAGGCAATACAATGGAGCAAAGACAGTGGAACAAGTGAACATCCACATGCAAAAAAAAAAAAAAAAAGAATCTATACACAAATTTTATACCCTTCACAAAAGTTAACTCAAAGTAGAATGTAGACATAAATGTAAAACAGAAAACTATAAAACTCCTAGAAGATAACATAGGTGAAAATCTAAATGATCTTGGGTATGGCAATGACTTTTTAGATACAACATCAAAGGTGTAGTCCATGAAATAAATGATTGATATGCTGGACTTCATAAAATTAGAAACTTCTGCTCCGGGGAAGACAATGTCAAGAGAATGAGAAGGTGAGCCACAAACTGGGAGAAAATATTTGCAAAAGACACATCTGATAAAGGACTCTTATCCAAACTTTACAAAGAACTCCTAAGACTTGACAATAAAAAAACAAAGACCTGATTCAAATAGGCCAAAAACCTTAACAGATACCTCACCAAAGAAGATGTACAGTTGGCAGATAAACATTTGAAAAGATGATCCACATCTTACGTCATCAGTGAGATGGATTAGTGGTTTAGACTATTTTTAGTGCAGTTTTAGGTTCACAGCAAAATTGAGAGGAAGGTACAGAGATCCTATTTACAAAGCAGAAATAGACACAGATGTAGAGCACAAATGTATGGATACCAAGGGGGAAGGGGGTGTGGGATGAAATGGGAGATTTGGATTGACATGTATACACTACTGATACCATGTATAAAATAGATAACTAATGAGAGCCTACTCTATAGCACAGGGAACTCTACTGAGTGCTCTGTGGCGACCTAAATGGGAAGGAAATCCAAAAAAGAGGGGATATATGTATATGTACAGCTGATTCACTTTGCTGTACAGTAGAAAATAACATAACATTATAAAGCAACTATACTCCAATAAAAATTTTAATAATATATAGTCTAAAAAAACAAGAAAAGAAACTACCCTTGAAAAGTTCCCTGTAATGTCTATTTCTACTTGCAGAGACAAAATATTGAGGTACCTTGGAACAACCTTTTTTATCTCAGGGAAAAATCTTAATTGTGTGGCACTATGGCCTGTACCTGGGAATGATGCATCAGGACACTCTTAGACTTGAAAAAGGCAGCCTGGGGAAGACACTTGATGGTTTGTCTACACTACTATTTTATTTCTGGGTAATTATACCAGAAATTCTGGAAATTATATTTTCTATCCTAGTGGATCTAAAGGAGCTTCCATGTTCTTCAATGTTCCTGTTCATTATATTTGAATATTTGACCTCAAATGGGCCAATCATAATTCCCTTAATGCCTGGAATTTTGGACATTGAAAGAGCCTTGAACTCAAGAAATAGCAAAGTCAGTTATTCTTGAATAAACAAGTTGATTTAATAAAGGTTGATTATGTTTTATGAAACTATTAGTATATCAAACTGTCATCTTTTGTGGAGTATAATCAAGGGCTATTCACTGTCTGGCAATACTAGTTGTCAAAGTTTGCTAATAGTATGTATTAAAAAAAGAAGTGTTTAGTTGCAGTGCTGTTAAGAACAGCTGGGATAAATAAGGATGCCACTAAATTATTTAATTTCAATATAAGTTGTATCTATTATCATATTAAAGTCTAAATTTTAGGTGATAGATGTGCTAACTCACCTAACTGTGGTAATAATTTTCAATATATACAAGGATCAAATCATCACATTGTATATACAAGTATCAAATCATCACATTGTACATATTAAACTTGCACAAAGTTACATGTCAATTATATCTCAACTGGAAAAAAAATAGTTTAAATTTGACCTTAATATCATTAAAGACTTTTTTGATTTTAAGTGACAGAAAAACAAACACAAAGTGCTTAAGAGAAAAGGAATTCTTTGATCCACATAAATTACAAATCTGGGGATATTTTTATTTTAATATTTCTCTTGGACCAGGAAAAACCCAGTCTCTCTTCTCTTTCTGCTTCCTCTGTGTCACTTCCATCCTCCAACACGCTTATTCCTCATGCTGGTAATATTACTATGTCTTCAAAACTCCAAGTTCAGCAGAAAAGAGGAAACTTCTTTTCCCCATGAGTATACATAAAAGCCCTGGCTCTTATTCTTACTCCAAATCTGTCACAAACCCATCACTGAACATATCACTAAAACCAAAAGGAAGATGTGCTGTACAAGGCAGGCTAGCCTAGTTTATGGCATGGTAACACAAACCTGATTCACCAAAGACAGGCTTGGTCGTCTCACTCCTAGACTTAAGCTGAAGGGCAGCCACTGTTTGGTTGCTGTCATGGTGGCAGAAGAAAGACCTTTGGATAGACCCACACTAGTAATTAAATGCTTAGCCTGGAAATGACAGAATGACATTGTTCACTATTCATTAACCAGAACAAGTCACATGGCCTCACTCAACCATAGGGGACAAGGAAGTGAAACTCCATCATGAGCTCAGAATGGTAGGGGGAAATTGGGTATTTTGAAAACAACACTGATGAATGCCAAATGTACTAACTGGCTCAGGTCATATACCCACCTAGACCTGGGAGTAGGGTCAGCTCCACTGCAGCTGAAAACATGTAGGTTTTCACAGAAAACAGACTATTATTAGGAAAAAAGTAGGAGTTATTATCAGAAAAAAATATATATTACATATAATTAAGTCAATTTCTAGTAAATGACCAAAGTTCTGGATTCAGTATGAGTATATCTTCCTGTGTTAATAGATTATTACCTTCCAAGTGTTAAAAATTTTACCATATTTGTATAAACCAAAAGCCAAAAACTGTTATATTTTCCCCTATCCTCTTGATTTTAATCTGGTTGATCAACAGAGTCTAAAGTTTTCAAAGTAGACATTTTAAATCTAGTTCAGTTCCTAATTTATGATTTATAGGACAGCTAAACCTGTGAAACTAAAGTGGTTTTAAACCCTTAACTAATTCTATTCACAAATAAAGATGTGGGATTCACACTTACGTCTTCATTCTTTAGTACCTAGCTAGAACGGTTCTGTCCCCCTTGTGGGTTTTAGCAGCATTAGACCAGGTTTTGTTTTCCTTTTTCCAGCAAGATGTTCAGTATCAAGTATTTTTCTTTCTGTAGATTTTAAGTGAATACCCATTTAAGATACCCATTTAAGTGAATTTAAGAAGAGTTTATTGTAAGGCTACAATAGGTACTCTCTGCTTTCTCCATCTCTAAAATTACCCTAATTCTTTCACCTTGTTTTTTTTCCTTTTCTCTCTTAGCATCTGCTCTGTTTTTCCTTTCTTAATAATCTCTCTGCTTATTCATATTCATAGCCCAGGGCACTACAGCCAAAGGACAGTAAGTTACAATCTCTGGGCCTTTTTCTTAGTCAAATTTCAAAGAAAGAAATCAAATTGGCTGGGTATTGGAAGTTGATCTAGTGTTAGCGAAATCAGCTCTGGTTGGGAGAAAGTATCACATAGTATATACAGCTGTCTCTTTTAAGGCTTTGGGGTGGGGCAAGTTAGCAAGGAGAATTGTACAAGAAAGCTAATTGGCCATGTCTGCTGTAGGAATTAGGGTGAGAATATCAATACCATTTATCCTTACTACAATTTTAAGTGCTTTACAAATTTTAACTCATTTAATCCCATGAGGTGGATAGTATTATTACACTCATATTACAGATAAGAAGACTGAAATATAGGGAGGTCAAATAACTTGTTCATGGTCATACAGTTAATAAGAGGCAGAGCCACTCAGAATTTGGAAGTAGGCAGTATTGCTCCAGAGTCTATGGTTGCTATACCACAAGACTTGGCTATCCTAAAGCATCAGTTTACATCAGTGAATTTATTGACTTGGGATATTCCCTTAACTCTTTTGCCAGTAGTAAAATGTTTCTCATTCTCCAAAGCTCATCTTCAATACTAGCATTTTCACTTTGCAAGCTTTCCTGAACACCTTCCTTCTGCTGTTAAACCACCCTGTACATTCTCTTCATTACCACACAGATCACCTTGTCCTGTGATTGTTTAATATTGTAATACTGTGAGCTTCTGTCGAGCAAGGGCAATATATACCTTATCTTTATGTTCCTGGTGCACAGCATAATTACTGACACATAACATATACTTAATGAATTGTTATTGGATTATTCACTTAATGAAGGAATGAATGCATTAAATATGATTTATGCTACACAAATTTTACCAGTTTCTCTTCTGCTTCCGGATTATAGGACAAAAAGCACTTCCATAAGAAAACCTGGGAACAATGCTTGTGAATCTTTGAAATTACTGGGATTCAGAAGCCAAGACAGTGGTTGGTTTGTGCTTGATGGTTTCGTGGTAAGAACCGTGCAAAGTGGCTTGATATCATTTGAATTGTGTGAACATTTAGAGAGGTAATACAACAGTAAACAAAAAATATTGATGATATTATATCCTGATGGTTCGTAATTGATGTTTACAGAAGTAGAATCATAGGATTAGACCTTTTATTCCTCAAATAGAAATATGAATAGTCCTTTAGGGGGTGCTTAAAATGCAAACTAGGCCTGACATGAATACACTATCAGTAATTTCATTCACGATAGTTTAATAGGTGCTGTTGGAAACCACTCTTAACTTAAATTTATTTTTACAGCTTTCTTCTAACTCCAAAATAGTTTTAAAATAGCACCTTCATTTCTGAAATTTCATGGAGATAGTAATTAACCATTCATATTATGCTTATCTCCTATGTATATATAAACTGAATTTGTTATTCCAGTGTCCTCATTTTGCTTTCTCATTTCCATGTTTTCTAGACAGCTCATTATGAGAAGAGTTAGACGTGTTAAGGTTCCTGAGAAGTAGACACTCACAAAGAGAGGGCAATCACATGTCCAAAGATAGCCTTTTTCTCATAAAGGAAGAACTTACATCTATAATTGTCTTGGGTCAGTTCCCTAGAAAAAGAGTCTAAGATGAGAATGCAAGTGATTCTTTGAGAGAGGGCTCTCAGGAGACTCCTGTAGAGTGATGAAAGAAAGCAGGGAGGATAAGGGAAGAAATGGGAGAAATTATGGCTTGAGCTGAAGTTTTACCTCAGCCTGATCCCTCAGGGGAGCTCTGAAGTGTGAGTTCCAAGGAGGCTGGCTTTACACTCTTGCATCAGTTAGTCTTTGTCTGTGGATGTGATGCTGTTCTGGGGGAGGGGGCTCTTATAGAGCAATTTTCTGGAGAACAGTTGGGCAACAGGTGGGCCAGACCTGGAAGAGGGATTTGAATTAGTTTGCTAGGCTGCCATCATAAAGTATCACAAACTCAGTGGCTTAAACAACAGAAATGTATTGTCTTACATTTCTGGATGCTAGAAGTCCAAAATCAAGGTGTTGGCAAGGTTTATTCCTTTTGAGGACTCTGAGGGATCTGTCCCAGGCCTCTTTCCTTGGCTTATAGATGGCTCATTTCATGTTCACATGGCATTCTCTCTGTATGCATATTTGTGTCCAAATTTATTTTTTATGACACCAGTCATACTGGATTAGGGTGTACTCTAATGACCTCACACTGATTTGATTACCTCTGTAAAGACCATATCTTCAAATAAGGTTGCATTCCGAGGTACTGGGAATTTGGCCTCCAACACAGGATTTGGGTGGAGGGGACACAATTCAACTCATACAGGGTCCACCATAACAACTCTTATCACACAGTGACAGAAATGAATATTTCAATCTCCACTTAATAATGACATATATTTTGTGTCCTATTGATAGTAAACAGATTATCTGGATCATCTTTCTCTTTTTGAAGTAATACTCTTTGGTAATGTTAGTTAAAATATAATTTAAAATATGCTGCCATATTTAGAGCTAAGCTGAGGCTGGATGACTTCTTTGTTTATGGGCATCTGTTTTAGAACTTGATTTAAGCTGGTTTCCTGATTGCCAAGAGTTTCATTCAAGTCATTCATGAATTTAATCAATTAGTCATCAGAATGCTTGATTTTTAAAGGAGGTTTGGTTAATAATGGCTTTTTGGGGGTGTTATTAGTTATTCTTGATATTTTTGAAACTGGCTGTTTCCCTCAGGTTACTCCTTCTTTCTTCCATGCAGGTTTATAGTGCTTCACCTGTCTTCCATTGTGGACAATAGCCATTTGGTTTCTTTTGTGAAGTCTTTGGAGGAAGCCATGCTCAGCATCACTGTTTGCATTGTACTTTATCACCAGAAAGACAATCCACATAGAATTGTCATTTTAGTGGTGCTTTCTAAAGATTTACATCAGGTGCTTAGGAACTTGCGCTTGGAAGCGTCTAGTGGTCCTCCAGAGCCATCTCGCAATTTCCAAGTGAAAGAAGAACAACTCCTTTTAAGGTTTACTGGAAACATATTTGCTTCAAGTAAGTATCAAGAAATCTTTTTGCATATTCTATGGGCTATCAGCCACAAGCTTCAGAAGGAGTCCACTAAACATGTTTTACTAAGGAAATCTTCAAAGAACTGAGGGGAAGCTTTGGAAAAGTAGGAAGAGAAAAAGGACTTATTTACTTCTTTCTTTCCAGTCTGCTTCTTCTCTTTTTAGAGCATGCACATTCCTTAATGGGAAGACCCTAAGTGACACTTTTAGAAATAATCTTCTCCATGATTTGTATAGCTGCGTTCAAGCTAGGATCATCTCTTTCCTACACCAGTGTCGTTGCCTCGTAAATATTCCTCTGTTTTCACTATTAGCCATGTGAAATGGAATGTATCAATATTTCCATAGAGTAATAACAGTGATCTTTTAAAAATGAGTCATACTTTATTATTTCCCTGATTAAAACTTTGTAATTACCTCCTATTCCACTTTAAATAATGCCCAAACTCTATGTTGTCCTACAAAGAATCTAACGTGAGGTCAGTGGACTCCCAAGAGACGTGTGGATAGACTATATTCCAGCATAACTGTACTATTTATAATTCCAGTTATTATATTTTATATATTTAAAATACTACGCCGGGAAGGAATCAATAAGCTTCACCAAAGTCCAAAAGGGACCATGGCACAAAAGTGGTTAAGAACCTCAGATCCAGATGACATACCCCTGCTTACCTCTTATCTTTATATTTATCTAGTGATCTTTTATTTCCATTATAAATCTTACCACAACTTGAAATTACTTTACTTATTTATTTGTTTATATACTTTTCATTCTTATATTTATGTTCTTCACTGGAATGTAAATTCCATTAGGGCAGTGACTGTGTCTTTCTTGCTGTGTACCCTTGAGCCTAGAATAGTGCCTGATATATCAAGGGCTTTCAATAAATATGTAGTGAATCAATGAATATATGATGATGCTGAGGAAGACAAACAGGGTGAGTGACTATGAGAGGTGGCAGGAGATGTGGCAGAAGTGAGGGAATGGGTGAGACAGAAGAGATAAAAGGAGGGAAAGAGAAAAGGAAGAAAAAGAAGAACAGAGAGAAAACAGCTGTGTGAGAGTAGAGAGAAAAAGAGCTTTGGGGGGGTTGCCCTCACAGCCATTTCTTTTTTATTGGTTCAACCCCTTTTCCTTTCTAACTCCTTTCCTTGAGGCAGAATAATATCAAACAGCATGCATGTAAAGATGAGGTGTGGGGGAAATTCAGGAATGGGTTCTGTGGGAATTTCTGGCCCCGGAGTCCTGTGATAGACTTGACTTGAAGTAAGAGTCTCTGTTTACTTATAAATTAATATAGATCTCATTGATTTTTAAATGGTGCCTATTTTCTCTCTAATTCTGGAAATTACTCTAAGCTCCGCTGGCTCTTTGCTCTCTGTGGCTTCAAAAACAATGTGGCTTAAAGCTGAGGCTGCCCTGTTTTTGGTATCTCAGAAATAAGTGAGATTCAAAATGTCCCAATTTGAAGTATGTCTTCCACTTTCACATGCAGAGTCTCAGCCATCTGAGCCAGCTGATGGGACCTATGGAGTGAGTGACAGAATGTCACAAAAAGGGGAAGGGGGAGGAGAGGAAGGAAGGGTGGAAGATATCCCTTCTTACTTGGCTTCCGGAATAGAAACTATGCTAGGATAATCCCTCTAAGAAGAGAGAGTCAAAACCTGGAAGTGTCCCACCCAAACTAGTGATGCAAATGACTTCCTGTAGTACTTGGGACAGCAGCTGTGTTTACCTCCTGCTCCAAACAGGAGAGAGTTACTGTGCTTCTCATAGGCAACGGTTGAGTGTACTATTGCCTATAATGGGGAATAGGGAGTATATGCTAAAATAAGAGTGCCTGGAGACAGGCAGCATGTGTGCGGTCCCTCTATATAGGAATGAAGAACTCCTCTTCACTCAAAGAAAATGAGTCAGTCAGGATGCCAGGATCCTTTCTCCTTTGCCTTTTCTAGAGACTTATGGCCAGATCTGGAGCTTCACTGGATTTTCTCCATCTAAGAGGAGCAAGACCCTCAGTAAAGAATTGATACCTGATCCTTCCATCAGGGCCTGTGGTAGCCTCTATGAATCTCAGATACAAACTGCCAGAGGTTGTCTGCCTGGAGGTCCTCCCCTCAATCCATCCCCACCGTCTTCTCTAGTCATCTCCTACTGTATTTTCCTATGTCACTTATAATGATCACGTTTAGAGAAGCTTTTCCTATCTTTCCTGATTACCTCTGTTCTTATTTTACTTATTCAGATCCTTATGTAATTCTCTTAGTGGACATGGTCATAGATATAATCTTCTATTTATTTTTTAATTGCTTGATCAATGTCAGTGTCTCTGACTACAGTGCCATGAAAGGAGGGCCTGTTTTATTGGTGGGCCTGCTTTATTTTAGGGAGGTGCTTAAAAGCTAGAAGAAGTATTTGTTTGAAGAATGAAGACAAAAGCTTTGGAACAATCTTAACATTATAGTGTTATGTGATTAAAAGTATTTAAAACTTTAATTAATAAATTTAGATGACTGCCCTCTGAGAAATATCAAAATCTCTATATTCCTTATATAGAATACAGATGGTTCTTTTGACTGAGAACCTTGGGACATAGAGATAATTTCTACTTCTAAGAGAAAATAAGATAGGTGTTCCTTTGGTTTTTATATTGGCCTTTGGCATTCTTCTGGACACAGCTAGAATCTTCTTTCTCTCTCTAGGTTAGAGCTGTTGATTCAGCACTTAAGCTCTCTATTGCATCACATCTAAGCCCCCAGTGCTCAGAAAATTCATAAAGTGCTAGGAAACGGGCAGACAGAATTTTATATAATGACACGTTAGCACCACTCATAACATCGAGTAATGCCCCAAAGAGGTCTGTGTGTGTCCAAGTTGCCCCAAATGCCCTTTGGCCCAGAGAAATAGTTTTCCCAGACACACGTGTTAGAATGTTAGAATGACCTTCCTTTTACTCATTTAACAAAGATTCCCTGTCCTTATGTACATTATATTTTACTGGAGAGACACAGAGAAGAAGCAAATAAATAATAAAATGTACAGCTTAATGAGGTGGAAAATTCCTTACAGAAGAATAAAGGAAAGGGAATAGAAAGTCTCAGAGAGAGTGGCAGATTTGCAATTTTAAATAGACTCGTCAGAGAAAGTGCCATTTCAGCAGAGACTTGAAGATGAGAGAGCAAGCCATAATCCTATCCCAGGAGAATTTGTCCCAGGCAGGGCAAGGAGGCTGGGATGGCTGGATGAGAGGGAGGGAGAGGAGAGTTGGAGGAGATGAGGTAGGTACTGGTCATGCCTTGAAGGCCATTTCAAGGACTTTGCCTTTTATTCTAAATGAAGTGGGAAGCCAAGAAGGGTTTTCAACAGGGCCATCACATGATCTGGGTCAGATTATATCTGTGTTGAGATTAGATGGTATAAGGCAAGTGTAGCAGCAGGGAGACAGGTTAATGAGCCATTGCAATGAATCAAGCAAGGGTTGATGGAGGCTTAGAGGCAAAGGTATTAGAAATTGTTTCTGGTATTTTCGCCATAAGCATCTTTGCCATAGACATCTTTGCCGCAAGTATTTTTACTGCATAACTAATTAGCCATAAGGCAATTTTGCCATAAAAGGTATAATGGCAAAAAATAAAAGGGGGACATTTAAAAGCACATAATGAAACATGAAAAATGAATAACAAAATTATAAAGACTTTACTGCGACACAAAATATTTAAATACAGTTAAAATGTGTGTAGATTCATGACAATGCTGCACAGATAACTGATTTTATTTTGCGGGTTGTGCCTAAGCACTTGTCTTTCAAGTCTTTTGTTCATAGTATTTTATACATTTTTTTTAACTTGTTTATTCATCTTTCTGTTTGGCATCGCACTTTTTCTTATTCACTAAAACTTCATCCTTCACTGAGAGAGGTATCAGTTTCCATATACCAGGATGCATATTTGTAACTGAGCTTTGTGTCACATTGCAAAACCTTCTACACTGTTTGTCCTTTGCATATTGTCACATGTCTCTTGACAGATGTTCCAAAGTTCTATGGAAAATGTGAGTTCAACTCTGGGTCTGCCAGGCTCTCAGTCTCAGCCTCTTTCTCCCCCAGTGTAGTGTGTTTCGAAATAAGAAACCAATCCGTGGGGTAAAACATCGTCATCTGTCATGATTTTTTTGTTGTATATGTCAAACCAAACTGTTAACCAGTTATTTTATCTTTTACAGCAAAATTGCCTTATGGCCAGATAGTTATATGGCAAAAATGTGGTGGAAAAAAGGTTTGTGGCAAAGATGTCTACAGCAAAGATGCTTATGGTGAAAGTACCTAGAACTGGTGGAGATGTGTTAGGACACAGAAATATCTTGAGCCAGTGGTTCTCATGAGAGTATTCTGGTTCTCTGTGTTGGTAGCATGTCACTTCTTCATGTGACTTTTCTAAGCAAAAGCATATAGGTCTATGTTTGTACTTCCTATGTCTTCAATGAAAAATATTCCAATATGCATTATTGAGAAGAAAATACATTGCTATAAAAAATATCTAGTAACTCACAAAATATAAATAAATTATTTAGTTCTTTAAATGACAAATATTTATTGTATAGCTCCTACCCTACTATCCCTGCTAGGAACTATGTACATAATACATTGACGAGAAAGAGGTTTTCAAAATGTCAACTAATGATTGCTTTCGTAATTTTGGTATTTAATGAGTGACTTTTGGTTTTACTTCTCTAAATATGCCGGAGTGGGAGAAAAAAATAAAATAATGCAATTTCTTTGTGCTATTTGTTCTTTTTTTGGTTCTGCTTTTTTCTGTGACAAAGGGTCTTCAAAATATAGTGTTACATCTTAGCAACAATGAAACTCCAACTTAAGTCTACATAATACTTTCTTTGATAACACTAAGATCATGCTATTTATTACTAGTAAATCCTCAATAATTTCATCCTTATTTCATATATAAATGTGATTCTTAGAGATTTACATTACAAATCTTTATTTTTTTAAATTAACTGGCAATTCGAGGTAGATAAGTTCTAGAAATAGGTAGAACCAATGTGACTACGCCTCATCCTCCAATCTTCATATACTTATATACATTATCCTTTATGAGTAATTGTATACCTGGCAGGGAGTATCATTCAAGGGGTGGAAGGAGAAATTTACTAAATTATATTCTGTTGGGACATAAGTAGCAACATTTTTCTTGGTAGTACTCTAGTGGCATAGAAGTAGAAGTTTGCTAAGTATTCCCACAGTGATCTAGAAACTCTAATTTACTATTTACTAGATGCTATTTCAGTGACTCCAAATAATTTATCTTTTTTTTCTTTTTCCCTTTCTTTCTTACCAGAATGAAACTTTTAAAGCAAACCCTGGATAGTCATGCCTGTCCTAGGATGTCCTAGGAATCTGTTTTGTTCAAGGAGCCAGGTTGCCCCTAAAATGTAGACTTAAGCAAAGGGACATACTCCTATACCTTCCATAACCTGGAGTTATTCTAATTCTAGATTTAATTGTGCTTTAGAAATTCACCAAAATGACCTCTAGCAGTCAAAACAAGGAGAAAAGTATTAGTGTCATTTACATCTCTCACAGAATGCAAGAGGGAAAGCTTCCCATAAGAGAAAGAGAGAGAAAGAGAAAGCTCTGGGCAGTCAACTTTCAGGCCTCTGAGAGCAGCAGAAAGTTGCAACTTAGATATAAAAGCTTCATATTGACAGTCTTTTAAAAAATTTAAGTGGGTTGGTTTTTGTCATACAAATTCAAAACAATGTGAGAATCCGTCTTCGTTCTTCTCATTTGCTGTCATTGCTATTATTTACTGAGCCTTTATTATGTGCCAGGCCCTGTGCCAATCATTCTATCCATACTCCCTCATTTCATTCCCAGAACAATCCTAGGACGTTAGTTTTATTTCTCGTTTTAAAGGTAAGGAAGTTAAGGCTCCAAGAAGTTCAGAGATGTGCAAGAACTGGATAAATATTACGGCGTAGGTAAATATTAGAGGCTGAACATGGATCTAGATCTTTATGTCAGAAACATATTATAACTGCTACGTTACAGCTTACTTTTAAATTTTGCTAAGGGTAATGCACACTTGCCTTACGAATACCGCAGTGTCTGTTTTACTGTTGCAATGAGAAGGTGAAATATCCTGACTGTCATGGTAAAACCCCCAAGAGTGAAATGTTATGTTCACTAAAGCTCCATTATTTTCAGTGGACAGTTGAGAAGACTTTTACATATGCTTGTTTGGGGAGAATTCACCAGGTTTTAATAGAAATTTTAGTAGCTATTAAATCTAGAAACTATTCCATTTGGAAGTTCTAGAACAGCACTGTATTTCTGCATGGTGAAAATGTTTTATATGTGTACTCTCCCATATGGTAGCTACTAGACAGACGTGGCTATTGAACATTCGAAATGTGGCTAGAGCACCTAAGGAATTGAATTTTTGATCTTAATTAGTTTTAACTTTAATTTTAAAAGCCACATTTTGCTAGTGGCTACCATATAGGAGAGCACAGTTCTAGAATGTCTGTTGTGAGGTCGTGATAGTGTGCAACGTGATATGAATAGTTAAGTGAAAGGAAAAATATCATTCTTAAAAAGTGAAAATAATTTTCTAAGTAGAGAAAGAGATGAGTATTTCCAATGGTTTCTTGTTGTAGCAAAATGGAATAGAAAAAGAAAATCAGATCAATGATGACTCCCACAAATGCATAAAAAAAGAAAAAGAAAATCAAAGATTATTAGACCTAGAAGCAGCCAGAGAGCACCTGGTCCAAGTATAGATGAGAATCATTTTAGTAATTTATACAGTCTCAGCTTAGTGCTGGTTTATTAGGTTATGTTTTGACAAGAGGTATTGACACAAAAAAGACAAATTTTTTAAAATGAATGATTATTTGGATTTTTAAAAAATAAGTTAAAAAAGTGGTATATATTAATAGTAACAAATGCATTTTACTTCTATTTAGGCAATGGGAAGGATTATGGAAAAGACTACAAGCTTATTTTTCATTTACAAAGGAAACCTAGACTGGAACTCCAAATCAAAGAGGTGGATGAATTGGGAAACTATAGCTGCCCTCATTATAAGGGTACCATTGTAGTTTATAAAGTACCTAAAGAAAAGATAGTCCACAACTTGGATCAATCTCTTATACTTAACGAAAACAATTATCAGTTGCCAATTTGCAAATTACCATTGAAATTGCCAAAGGTGAATCATTTTACTTCCCTAATTACTGTATTTTGTTAATTCTCTATAATTCTCTACCAAATTCAATACTGCATAAATACGGATACTTATGGTTGAAAGGAAAGATAGGAATAATGTTGATAAAGAAGGATAAGCTACAAGAGTGATAGAATGCATGTCAGGATTTCTACTTTCTTCCATATCAACTTTGTAATAGGAACAATTCAAATTGGTCTGGTCCTGACAGTATATTGTTAATGACTATTGAAAAAATGTCATTCATTTTCTGTAACTGATTCTGAGTAACTAAAAAAAATCATTTATAAAAACATAGAATACCGTTCAGAACACAACAATTTTTGAAAAATCATGTGGTGACAAGGAAAATGACATAAAAATATTTTCAGTGAGACTTACCAAATCCTGCACGTTTGTTTTAAGAGTTAATTACTCTTTCATTTCTGATTTTGTTTATTTGAGTTCTTTTTTTTTTCTTTTTGGTTAGTCTAGTTAAAGTTTTGTTAATTTTGTTTATCTTTTCAAAGAACCAACTGTTAGTTTCATTGATCATTTATACTGTCTTTTCAGACTCTATTTCATTTATTTCCATTCTAATCTTTATTATTTCCTTCCTCGATTAAATTTGGACTTTTTTGTTCTTCTTTTTCTAGTTCTTTCAGGTGTAAAGTTAGCTTATTTGCAATTTTTCTTGTTTCTTGAAGTAAGCCTGTATCGTCATGAACTTTCCTCTTAGAACTGCTTTAGCATAGATGTTGGTATGTCCTGTTTCTGTTTTCATTTGTCTATGTAGTTTTTGATTTTGTCTTCAAGTTCCTAATGACTCATTGGTTATTCAGTAGCATGTTGATTAATCTCCACATTTTTGTGAATTTCTCAGTTTCTTCTATTAGTTGATTACTAGTTTCATGTCACTGTTGTCTGGAGAAGATGCTTGACAGGATTACAATCTCCTTGAGTTTATGGAGACTTATTTTGTGACCTAACATGTGACCTATTTGGAGAATGGTCCACATGCACTTGAGAAAAATGTGTATTCTGCTGCTTTTAGATGGAATGTTCTTTCTCTATATATGTATCTATTAGGTTCATTTGGTTTAATGTGTTGTTTAAAGTTGATGTTTGCTTATTAATTTTCTGTATGGATGATCTATCATTGAAATAAGTGGAATATTAAAGTCCCTTATTATTACTGTATTGTTGTCAATTTCTCCCTTTAGGTCAGTTAATATTTGCTTTATTTATTTTGGTGCTCCTATACTGTCTGCATATATATTTATAAATGTTACATCTAGAGGAGAAGTTACAACTGATACCACAAAAATAAAAAAAGATAATAAGAAACTACTACAAACAATTATATACCAACAAATTAGGCAACCTAAAAGAAATGGATAAATTCCTAGAAACAAAAAAATCTTCTAAGATTCAGTCATGAAGAAATAGAAAATCTGAATAGACTGATTTCTTGTTAGGAGATTGAAACAATGATCAAAAACTTCCCAGCAAACAAAAGTCCAGGACCAGACAGCTTCATGGATGAATTCTAACAAACATTCAAAAGAATATTTACTATCTATCCTCTCAAACTCTTCCAAAATATTGAAAAGGAGGGAATGCTTCCAAAATTTTTTTATGAAGCCAATATTACCCTGATACCAAAACCAAACAAGGATGCCACAAAAAAGAGAAAATTACAGACCAATATCCTTGATGAATGTAGATGCAAAAATCCTCAACAAGATGTTAGCAAAGTGAATCCAACAATACATGAAAAGAATCATACACCGGGATCAAGTGGGATTTATCCCAAGGATGCAAGGATAGTTCAACATCTGCAAATCAATCAATGTGTTATACCACATTAACAAAATAAAGGATAAGAGTCATATGATCATCTCAATAGAAGCAGAAAAAAATTTTGACAAAATTCAACATCCATTTATAATGAAAATTATCAACAAAGCAGGTATAGAGAAAAGTTACCTCAACATAATAAATGCCATACATGACAAACCTACAGCAAACATCATACTCAATGGTGAGAAGCTGAAAGCATTTACACTAAGATCAGGAACATGACAAGTATGCCCACTCTTGACACTTTTATTTAACTTAGTACTAAAGGTCCTATCTACAGTAGTTAGACAAGAAACATAAGTAAAAGGAATCCAAATTTTAAAATTGTCACTATTTGCAGATGGTATAATAATATATATAGAAAACCCTAAAGACACTACCAAAAGCTGTGGGAACTAATTCATCAATTCAGTAAAGTTGCAGGATACAAAATCAATATATAAATAAACCTGTGGCACTTCTATACACTAATAATGAACTATCAGAAAGAGAATTTAAGAAAACAATGCCATTTACAATTGTATAAAGAAAAGCCAGTAATAAATTTAACCAAGGAGGTGAAAGGCCTATACACTAAAAATTGTAAGACATTGATAAAAGAATTTGGAGAAGATACAAATAAATGGAAAAATACCCTGTGCTCATGGATTGGAAGAATTAATATAGTCAAAATGTTCATACTAACTAAAGCAATCTACAGGTTTAATGCAATCCCTATCAAAATTCCAAAGGCATTTTTCACAGACCTGGAACAAATAATTTTAAAATTTGTGTGGAAACACAAAAGATCCCAAATAGCCAAAGCAATCTTGAGAATGAAAACAAAGCTGGAGGGATCAAGCACTGTGATTCAAACTATATTACAAGGCTATAGTAATCAAAACAGTATGGCATTGGTATAAGGACAGACACACAGATCAATAGAACAGAACTGAGAAGCCAGAAATAAACCCATACATATAGACAATTAAATTATGACATTGGAGCCAAGAACATACTACAAAGAAAGGATAGTCTCCTCCATAAATCATGTTGGGAAAACTGGACATACACATGCAAAAGACTGAAACTAGACCAGTATCTTACACAATGCATAACAATTAACTCACAATGGATTAAAGGCTTGTGTGTAAGACCAAGAAAATCCTAGAGGAAAACATAGGCATAACCTCCTTGACATTGGTCTTAGCAATGTCTTTGTAGATCTGACTCCAAAGGCACAGGACACAAAAATGAAAATAAACAAATTCAACACCTCAAACTAAAATGCTTCTTCATAGTGAATGAAATCATCATCCAAATAAAAGTTGAACCTACTGAATGAGAAAAAATATTTACAAATCATATATCTGAGAAGGGGTTAATATCCAAAATATATAAAGGATGCATATAATACCACAACAAATACAGAAGCAACTCAATTAGACAGTGGGCAGAGAAACCAGATAGACACTTTTCCAAAAAAGACATACAGGTGGTTGATAGGCATATGAAAAGATATTCAACATCACTAGTTATTAGGGAAATGAGAATCAGCACCAAAATGAGATATCATCTCAAACCTCTTGTATAGAATAGCTATTATCAAAAAGATAAGAAATAGCAAGTATTGGAGAGGATGTGGAGAAAAGGGAACCCTATACACTTTGGGGTTGGTGGGAATGTAAATTGGTGGGAAGGTAAATTGATCCAGCCACTATTAAAAACAGTATGAAGATTCTTCAAAAATTAAAAATACAACTACCATATGATTCAGCTCTTCCCCTTCTGGGTATTTATCCAAAGAATATAAAAATACTAATTTGAAAAGATATATGCACCCTATCTTCATTGCGGTATTATTTACAATAGCCAAGCTATGGAAACAACCTAAGTGTCCATTGATGGATGAATGGATAAGGAAGATACGGTATGTATACACAATGGCATACTATGCAGCAATAGAAAGAATTAAATCTTGCGATGTGCAATAACATGGCTGAACTTTTATGGTACAATGCTAAGTGAAATAAGTCAGACAGAGAAAGACAAACACCATGTGGTTTCACTCATCTGTGGAATCTAAAATACAAAAAAATGATCAAACAAACCAAAACAAAAGCAAACTCATAGATACAGATAACAGATTGGTGATTACCAACCAGAGAGGAGGGGGGTTTGGGGGACAAAATGGTTGAAGATGTCAGTTGTATGGTGATGATTGGTAACTAGGTTTTTGGTGTTGTTCACTTTGTAGTGTATACAGATATCAAATTGTAATGTACACCTGAATCGTATATAATGTATTGATAACATACCAATTTTACCTCAATTTTAAAAAGAGTTAATTACTTTTTTCTAAAATTCTTATTCTTATCAGGAGTGTAGGAATGAATTCTCTCAACACGTGAAACAAAAAGTAAATAATTTTATTGTTGTATGTACTATTTCTTTCAGTGATCCAGGACTTGTACTTCTAAACTACATTCTAATGAGAAATATAACTGAAAAATTTATCACTCCAGAGGAAGAACAAACTTTTTATCATTTAAAGAAAGCCAGAAGTAGTTTTACATGGTTTTACTTGTGTTATGAATAGCAGAAACATGTTTTCTATGGGATTAGATCTTGTACTGATTTTGAATAAATTAGTAAAGTAAGTCATTAATTTGACAAATATTAATTGAACTTCTGAAATAGGAAATGTGCTATGCTAAGCATTCTGATAAATACAGAGATATATAGGATAATACATGCCCTAAAGCTATGTTGTCCTGGATGCAGCCACTATCCACATGTGTCTATGGAGCACTTGAAATATGGCTAGTCCAAATTTAGATGTACCGTAAGTGTCAAATACACATTGGATTTCAAAAAGTTAGTACAAAAAGATAGAAAATATTTCGTTATTTTGCTCATAATGATTTCATAGTAAGTTATAATATTTTGGTTATGGAGTTAAACAAAAATATATTATTAAAATTAATCTCATATGCTTTAAAAGTTTTTAGATGGCTAACTAGAATAGTTGAAATTATGTGTTTCAAACTATATTTCTATAGGACATCATTGCTCAAAATTGTTTACAATCTAGCAGCGTATGCAAAACATGTATACAAAATCACCTTGTAAGATTGTGAATAATTAGACTAATGGTATAAACA